GTGTTTGCAGGCTTCCCAAGCCTCCAAACACTCCCAGAAACTGGCGATTTCGCCGGTGCTGGCCCCGTGCGGGGGTGGGAGGAGCGTGGCAAGGATCCTGGAAGGCTCCCTCAGACCCTTGCCATGCTTCCCCCACACCCCCCAAGGGGCCAGGGGGGTAAAATCACCAGCTTCTGGGAGTGTTTGGAGGCTTCCCAAGCCTCCAAACACTCCCAGAACCTGGCGATTTCACCGGTGCTGGCCCCGTGCGGGGGTGGGAGGAGCGTCGCAAGGGGCTGAGTAAGCTTTCCAGGACCCTTGCGATGCTTCCCCCACCTGGAAGCTGGCAATTTCGCCGGCGCTGGCCCCGTGGGGGGTGGGGGAGCATCACAAGGGTCCTGGAAGGCTCACCCGGACCCTTGCGACGCTCCCCCCATGGGGCCAGCGGGGATGAAATTGCTGCCTTCACTCCATAAGACACACGGACTTCCCCCCCACATTTTGGGGGGGGGGAAGTGCCTCTTATGGAGCAAAAAATACGGTATGTAAGGGCTAAAGGCTTTATTATGACTATAGATCATCTAAGCAGAACATTTCCCTTTTATTTTTTGGAGGAAGGACTGTATGTAAACTGAAGTTATTACTAACTGATTGAACTTGAAGGACAGGCAACACAAAATGGATAAACTAGACCATGTGGGGAAGAAGGTTGTTTATGCAAGTTAATGCCACAGTGGATCAACTGTCTCAAAAACATCGTAGCACAAACTGTGTTCTCCTTTGGCTTTGTAATTAGTTTTAATTTTGCAGCAAGTTTGGTCTGAAACTGAAAATGTGTGTGCATACGTGCATGGGTGGGTGCGTGCGTGCATGCGCGCGCGCGCACACACACAGAGTTTGCTTGGGACACCACTTTGAATGCAGCATCCTATCCTAAAAGGAATTTTTTTGCAGGCTCACTATTTGACTGCTTTGATTTTCTGTGTTCCCTACAGGGTGAATGTTCTCAGAAGTGCCATGACATTTTTGTGCTGGAGACTGTCTGTGTGGCTTGGTTTTCCTTTGAATTCATCTTGCGCTCCATTCAAGCAGAAAGTAAGTGCGCCTTCTTGAAGACCCCACTCAACATCATAGACATTTTGGCCATCTTGCCTTTTTACATCTCGTTGATTATAGATATGGCCTCTACCAAAACCAACAATAAGCCTGGAGGTGGGAGTACTGGCGGAAACAAGTATCTAGAGAGAGTGGGCCTGGTTCTCCGCACCTTACGAGCTCTTCGTATTCTGTATGTCATGCGGCTGGCACGACATTCACTGGGCCTGCAGACCTTGGGACTTACGGTGCGCCGCTGCACAAGGGAATTTGGACTCCTCCTCCTTTTCCTTTGTGTCGCTATGGCACTTTTCTCCCCACTGGTTTACTTGGCCGAGAGTGAAATGGGGGCCAAACATGAATTCACTAGCGTTCCTAGTAGTTATTGGTGGGCTGTGATATCCATGACCACTGTTGGTTATGGTGATATGGTACCACGTAGCATTCCAGGACAAGTGGTAGCCCTGAGCAGTATCTTGAGTGGTATTTTACTTATGGCTTTCCCTGTCACTTCCATCTTCCATACTTTTTCCCGCTCCTACATAGAGCTGAAAGAGGAACAGCAACGGGCTGCTAGCCGGCAGCTTCATCAGGTGGAAGACAAAACTCGGAATGAGGACAGTTCTCAAGAAGGGGACTCCACAAGTCCTCAAGGACTTGATGGGGAGATGGCAGATACTGGGACTGAACAGGGAGCTAAGAACTGCTGACTCACAGAAAACCGAAGTCTTGCAGGAACAGCATGGACAAAATAGGCAAGTGGACACTATGTATCTGAAGTAAACGCTGAGCTGTCTAGTGTCTAAGCTACACAGTGTGAAAGAGAAGGACTGTCTTCTGAGCTGTGACAGAACATGGAACTTAATTAAAACTGAGGGCAGTTAAGCTTCACCATTCTAAGAACACAAGAGACTCTTGAGCACTGAAAAAAATGCTATTGCTGTTTAATTTTAGAAGAGCAGCTATTTAAGATAGGTTTCCACTGTGCACATGAGAGAAAATAATAGTGATAAAGAATTTTTTTCAAAACCAAGTGCCGCAAATTCAGTGTGATGTGCTATGCGCCACTGAGTATGCATTGGGTTGGAGCAAAAAATAAATGGTACAAAAACCTTCTTCCAAGTCTTGCATCACCAATAAGAGTCATACCTTTGTATACCCGGATGGGAGTATGTACAGGAAAGATAAAAGGTGAATTTGGAAGCACAGGGATTAGGGGTTTTTTTCTGGCTAACTGGAAAAACTATCCCTAGTTTACCTCTGTTTTAGTTTTTTCTTCAATAAAAGCAAATCAATAACCACAATGTTGGCTGCCTGCTGACAGGTCTGACATGTGCTTTAGCTCTTTATGCATTATTTAGTGAACATGCAGATTTACTACTTTTGCATCCTAGTTTGGATGACAGACATACACAGACTGTTTTCCTTTGCTGAGCTTTGAATGTACATTGTTTTAAATGTAATAATATCCTACTGCACCCCACTGGCAGTAGAGCCATGCTTTTCAAATTAGAGGAGAGGAGCTCTGTAAGATCAGTGGCCAATTTGCACATGTATTTGCAGGGCAGAGAGTATAATATGCAAAAGCTGAACTTGGAACATCTGCAGAGGTGCACTTACAGGAGAAAGCACGAGTCACTTTCAGTTCCAATGTCCCCAAATATGATGTAACAAGCGAAACCACTTTTAAACTGCAGAAGGATATATCACTATAAAAGTTTCTTGCCATTAAGAGTGAGTGTGTCATATTTAAGACAAGGACAGTTTTACTCTTTGGTTTACCCCAAAGATTCAGTAACATTTTGGGCCAAAACAAGAACAACATTTCATCATGGCTGGCCTTTGCAAATAAATGTTCCAGAATAACAGGAGCCAGTACAGCGCATATCTTGTGGCTATTTCCCCCCTACATTTGTCACAGCAATCAGCTGTAGAGAGGTCCACTCCAAAAATCTCATATAAGACCTTCAAATCAGATCAGAAATAAAGAGCACCATCAATCTTGAGAAGAACTCAGTTCTACCGTGTTTTCCCGAAAGTAAGACAGGGTCTTATATTCATTTTTGCTCCAAAAAACACATTAGGGCATATTTTCGGGGGATGTTTTGTTTTACAGTCATGTCATCTTCTGGTTGCTGCACAATGGTGGAGGGCGGGGTTTCACTTAACTAGGACTTATTTTGGGGGTAGGGCTTATATTATGAGCATCCTGAAAAATCATACTAGGGTTTATTTTCAGGTTAGGTCTTATTTAGTAAAAGGGAAAGGCAGTGATGCCGAGTCCCTTTTCTCTTCAGTTATGATGACTTCTGGCCTGCAACATTATGTGGAAATGATTTCTTCCAGATTGATATTAGATACAGTGGGAGTCTCAAAAGATTCTGGGAGGCTGAGGAAATAGAAACATTTTTTAAAACTTGCTTCTTGCTGTCCTTATAAGGAACAACAGATTTTAAACAAAGCTCTTAATTGCCATTTCCTGTTTCTTCTTCTTAAATGATTCTAAAATATTTGAAAATAAAACTTGGAAAATAAAGTTCTCTTGAGACAAATAACCGAGATTGTGTTTTGCTTACTAAAACCATTCTGTATCACACATACATTAAACTTTGCAATTTTGTACATAAGCAACCTTCTGTACTGTAAGTGCTTAAATTTAATGTGGAGAAGAGCTGTACAAACACAAGAAGTGAAGACTTCTTTATGCATGCAGGACTCGGCAAGCTCTGGCCCTCCAAGATGTTGCTGCACTCTCACTCCCACCATCCCTTACCACTAGCTATGTTGCAGCTAGATCTGATGGTAGCTGTAATCTAACAGCATCTGGTGGGCCATATATTACCCTCCAAATAGATGGTTCAAGAAACTACAATATGGTTTTACTTCCACGTTTGGAAACTAAGCAAAATGTTCTTATAGATGTGAGACTTTAAAAAATAAATAAACCAGAGTTATGACACGGGAAGGATGATCTAAGCTGCTTAGGTGACCATAGTAATCATATGTATATTGCAGATATGTGAGAAAGCATCATAGGGCATCAGTATCTTTCAGGATGCAAACTAATAGCAAAACAGCACTAATTTTGGACTAAAGAGGTTCTGTACATAATCTTTTAAGAGTAGCAGCTATAATTGCCTACAGCAGGGGTCTCAAACTCAATTTACCTGGGGGCTGCTGGAGGCAGAGTCTGGGGGAAGCTGGGCCACATCAGATTTTCCACCAAGCGGAGCAAGAGCCCGAGGAAGCCGCCCAGGAGTTTCCTTAGCCTGGGTGGGGCTCTGAGCAGGAGGAGGGGCGCGCGAGCCCTCATCACCGGCCATGACCCCCTCTGGCTCCTTCACTACCACCACCACCAGCAGCAGCAGGATGAAGAAGCGGAGAAGGGAGGGAGCACTAGCGATCACCTAGCCAGGGGGCGGAGGGCACGACATAAATTTTTTTAAAAACCCTCACAGAATTTGCCTTGCCAAAGGAGAAAAGCCCCCACCGGTACTCGTGAAATTAAACAGAATGGGGCAGCCACAGCTTGGAGGTCCACAGGTGTGCACGCACATACACAAACACACACACAAGGAGGTCCGGCAACCTTCCTCTGAGGGACCACCTCAAAAAAAGTTGCACTCAGCAGCAGCAGCTACCCCCACCACGACAGAGGAACAAACTTTGGGAGGTGAGCCCAGGCAGCACCAGAGCCGAGGCGGCTGAAGCAGGAAGAGGAGGAAGCACTGCCGGGTGCTGAGGCAGCCGCTGGCCAGGCTGTTGCTGGGGGTGCCGAAAAAGAGCCAGAGAGCCGCTTCCCTGGAAGAGGCAGTGACAGTGGCAGCTGCTGTTGGCAGCTTGGAGGCTCTCTTTCAGGATGGGCCGAAGGCTGCTGTTGGCAGCTTGGAGGCGCTCTTTCAGGATGGGCCGAAGGCAAGCTCCGCTCTCAGGCATCGCTCGGCGGCGGCTCGGGCACTCGGGGAAAAGGGCCAGCAGCACACCTTGCTCGGCAGCTCTCCCCCAAGACAGCACCTCCTGTAACCCCCATCCGGAACTGTGGCCTGCCAGCCAGCAGACTGGCCGGCTGGCTGCAGTTCCAGATGGAGAATGCAAAAGGCGCTGTCTTGGGGGAGAGCCGGCGAGCGAGATGAGGCTTTTTTTGACTCTTGACAGCAGAGGACGCTTTGGGGGGCAGGCAAGGCAGGGGCCACAAACTATCATCTGTTGGGCCGCAAATGGCCCACAGGCCGCGTATTTGAGACCCCTGGCCTACAGTGATCAGTTTTTCTTCTAAGGAATCCTCTATTTGAAGCACAATATTTCATTTTTAAAGTTTTAATTTTTAAGTTGTTTAATTTGACAATTGTTTAATTTAAAAGAGTATTTTTATGTTATGGTTTGGATTAATTTTGTTAACCTTGTTACCACTGTATTGTTTACTCTTATTAATTTAGTTTATCTTCTGATCTTTTCTTTTTCTTTTTTAAATTTTCTTTGACATGGAGTGGAAGGCTTGCCCACCCCCAGCGGGGGTCCTTTGAACATACGAGTGATTACAGGTAGAGGGAGATATGGCGATGGCACAGTTCCTACTCATTTCAGGAGAACGGTGAACGGATGTTTGAAGGCTGTCCACTGTTCTGGCACTGTGACCAACCGTCAGTCTCAAGGTAGTCAGATCAGCCATTACTCCACTCTAAATCTGGTGCTGTTGAATGCCAGGTCTGTGTCCAACAAATCCCAGATTATCCAAGACCTTATTCTGGAGGAGGATGCAGACCTGGCATGCATAACCGAAACTTGGATGGGCAGAGAAGGGGGTGTTCCCTTGACTCTTGCCTGCCCTCCCGGTTATGCTGTCCAGCACCAGGGTAGACTGGAGAGGTGGGGGGGAGTAGCCATTGTTTATAGAAATACTCCGGAGGTTATTAGGCTCTCTACGGTGGTGAAGCCAGGTCTGGAGGCCCTCCACGTGTCGATTGGGGCTAGGGATGGTATAGGGATCTTGCTGGGTACCGCGCTCCCCACGACACAGCCATTTCCTTACTGGAACTGGCGGACGTTGTCTCCGTGGCACTGTTGGAATCCCCGAGGCTTCTGGTCTTTGGTGATTTCAACATCCATACAGAGGCAGAGATTTCTAGTTCAGCTCTTGAATTTTTGGAAACCATGGCTTCCTTGGACATGTCCCAACATGTTAACAGCCCCACCTATGTGGGTGGTCACACGCTTGACCTGGTGTTCTCCACTAAGCAGAGTGAGTGTGGTCTGATGGTGATTGACCCTGTGTCAGTTCCCTTGTCATGGTTGGATCACTACTTAATAAAATGTAACCTCTCAGTGGCTCTCCCTTCCTGCAGGGAGCAAAGACCTATTTTAATGGTCCACCCTCGAACACTACTGGATCCTATAGGATTCCAGGATTCCATCAGAGGGATTCTGGCTTATCTAACTGGCACTCCTGTCGAGGCTCTGATTGATGGCTGACTTGATGCCACCACCAGGGCTGCAGACATGATCACTCCTAAACACCCTCTCCGGCGCAGAGCTCAGCCTGTGCCCTGGTTTAACCAGGAGCTGCAATCTATGAAGCAAAACAGGAGGAGGCTTGAGTGCAATTGGAGATGGAACCCGATGGATTATAATCTGAAAGCTGTCAGGATCGCGATTAACCACTATCTTACTAAGGTGAGGGCTGCCAGTCAAGCTCACTTCGCTGTCCGGATAAGCGAAGCTTCAAATCAGCAGGCAAAACTTATCCGTATAGTTCGCGATCTATCCAGAATTGATCTAAGTGATGGGCCTCCTACTAGTATTTCACCTGACCAATTTGCAGCATTTTTAAAATCTAATGTGGAGGCCATCTGCCAGGAGCTCTCTCCTTTTTTTGAATGTCCAACGCTCCGCCTTGCCTGGTGAGACTTGATCTCTTTCAGACTGTGACGCCAGATATGGTGGACAAAGTACTTGACCGCTGTTGTGCCACCATCTCCTCCCTTGAACCTTGCCTAGCCTGGCTAATCAAAGCAGCTAGGCCTACAACAACCAAATGGGCCATAGCAAATAATTAATGGGTCTCTCCAGGAGACACTCATTAGGCCCATTAGGAAGAAACCAAGTTTGGCAGTAGACTATATTGGCAATTACAGTGGTGCCTCGCTAGATGGTTGCCCCGCTTGATGATGAAATTGCTTTACGGGTTTTTTTTGCAATCGCTTTAGCGATCACAAAACAATGGTTCCAATGGGGCTTTTTCGTTCTACAATGCTTTTCCTGCACCGTCAGGAAAAGCCTCCAAAGTGCTCTAAAGTGGGCGCGGGTGGTTTCAGAGCACCCCCGCCAGGGCTCTGATGGTGCCGGAGGAGCCATCAG